CAGTGCTGAGGGAGCGCCGCACTGTCGGAGGGTCAGTGCTGAGGGAGTCCCGCACTGTCAGAGGGTCAGTACTGAGGGAGCGGGCACTGTCGGAGGGTCAGTACCAAGGGGCAGCAGCAATGAGAGAGAGTCAGTACTGACCGAGTGTAGCATGCTTGATCGGCTGTCTTTTAAGATTGAGTGCTAATGTAGAGAGAGCTCTACACTGTATCTAACCCCATGCTGTCCCTGTCCTGGGAGTACTCAATGCTAACACTGGGTAAAAAGTATTGGAAGGAGATGGAAGCAGGGTAGATCAAGAAAGGGTAGAAAGGAGGTGTGTGAAGAATAACAGGCAATAGTGATGTCGAGGGGAGGAGAGTACAGAGGATAAGAAATTCAAAGAGAAAGGAGGGTTGAGTCGAGTGAGACAAGGAGGCTAATGTTATTGAGGGTAACTTGGTCAGATGGATCCAGATTTAGATTCATGACAGGAAACTGAGGGTGGATATGGAAGGCTGTTTGTGATTGGAACCAAGCATGCTGTGGCATTTCACAGAGAGCATTGCTGAGTCCCTTATTGTCTGTAACATGCATAAATGATGGGGAATACGGCTGGGTTAATAAGTCAGTGTGCGGATGAGAGATGGATTGGCCAGGTGGTTGGTAATGAGGAGGAAGGTGTTAGATTACAGGATACAAATGGATTAGATGGGTAGATCAGTGGCAGATAAACACGAGGTAATGAACTTTGGAAGAAGGAACAAGACAAGGGAGTAGTGAATGAATGACAGGACACTGGGAAGCATCTTGGGATGCTTGTCCACAGTTCCCTAAAGGTGGTGGGACAGGTTTAGCATGTGGTTCAGAAGGCATATGGGAGACATGCCTTGATCAGTGGTTGATATGTACTATAAGAGCAGGGAGGTGATGTTAGAGCTGTACAGGACTTTGTGAAGCCACAGCTGGTGCACTGTGTGCAGTTCTGGTCTCCCACATTATAGGAAGGATGGGATTACACTGGAGGGGGTGCAGAGGGAGATTCACCAGGATGCTGCCTGGGATGGAGAGACTCAGCGATGAAGGGAGAGACTGGATAAGCTCGGGTTGTTTTCTCTGGAGCAGAGAAGGCTGAGGTGAGACCTGGTAGAGGGGTGTAACATTATGAGGGGCATGGGCAGGGTGAACCGAAAGTTGCTGTTGAAGGGTGAACAACAAGGGGGACATCATTTTAAAGTGAAAGACAGGAGACTTAGAGAGGATTTGAGAACAAACATTTTCACCCAGAGGGCGGTGGGGATCTGGAATGCACTGTCTGGGGGGTAGTTGGAAGCAGGAAACCTCACAACCGTTAAAAAGTACTTGGATGAGCATTTGAAATGTCATTACATTCAAGACTATGGGCCTAGTGCAGAAAAGTGGAAGTGATGATGGTCGTTGTGGTTTTTCTCGCGGTACAGACTGAAGAGCGTTTCAGTACTGTGTGATTCTGAGGAGGGGAGTTATGGAGAAAGACATGAAACAGTGAGGGGGGAAAAGCGGGGAGTGATGAGTCTGCTGCCTGACTGTATTCTAACTCTGTCCGTGTCTGTTTACTTCTAGTAATCGGAACAGTCACCGTTCTGTGGTGGTGCAGTTTTAATGACGGAGGAGCGAGCAACAAGCCTTGAAAGCTCCCTCGCTTCGCCCGAAGCCTTGATGTGGAAGAAACTGCGCCAGAGAGATGACAGAAATGGTGACCCTAGGCCCATCTCACTTGAAATTCTTTGCACCCTCCCCTCACCACCAAGACCGACCCAGAGGGAGAAACTGAGTTCTGTGGTAGGCTGCTTTCCTTCGCTGCTCCCTTCATTGATTTGGGCTCGAGGAACTTCTGCCTTGGGGCGACTGACTTCCTTTGATCACAGTGTCCTGTGTCTGCCTGGACAGATTGTTTGAGGAAGTGACAGACTTTTCCACGGATCTCCCCATCCAGGGTCTTGCTTTTCACTTGTGACTCTGTTTTTATAACTTGCTGTCAGCATTATTCCACCAATAAACTCTTCCAAAAAAATTCACCTTTGCTATCAAGTCAAACTGAAGCTGAACATTTTTATGAAGTGCTCAATACTGACACTGGGTATAAAGTGGGGGACATGCTGATGTAGAGAGAGCTCTACACTGTATCTAACCCCGTGCTGTTCCTGTCCTGGGAGTGTTTGATGGGGGACAGTGTAGAGAAAGCTTTACTCTGTATCTAACCCCATGCTGTCCCTGTCCTGGGAGTGTTTGATGGGGGACAGTGTAAAGGAAGCTTTACTCTGTATCTAACCCTGTGCTGTCCCTGTCCTGGAAGTTTTTGATGGGAACAGTGTACAGAGAGCTTTACTTTGTACTGAAACCCATGCCATATCTGTCCTGCAAGTATTTGCTGGAGACATTATCAAGGGATGTTTACTTAGTTTAAAAGTGTTGAAGGACCATAAGGTATTGGAGCAGAATCAGGCCATTTTGCCCATTGAATCCATTCTGCCATTTGATCCTGGCTGATATGTTCCTTAACCCCATTCTCCTGCCTTCTCCCCATAACCTTTGATCCCGTTACCAAATAAGAACCAAGCTATCTCTGTTCTAAATACACTCAATGTTTTGGACTCCACAGCCCTATATGGCAATGAGTTCCACAGATTCACCACCCTCTGCCTGAAAAAATTCCTACTCAATTCTAAAGGGTCACCCCCTCACTCTTACTGGTGGAAACATCTTCTCCATATCTACTGGGGATGGCTCAGTGGTTAGCACTGCTGCCTCACAGCAACAGGGACCCAGGTTCATATTCCAGCCTCAGGCGACCGTGTGGAGTTTGCATATTCTCCCCATATCTGCGTGGGTTTCCTCTGGGTGCTCCAGTTTCCTCTCACAGTCCAAAGATGTGCAGGTTAGGGCGGATTAGCCATGAGAAATGCAGGGTTACAGGGATGGATGGTGGGGTTGGGTCTGGGTGGGATGCTCTTTGGAAGATCAGTGTAGACCCAATGGGCCAAATGGCCTGCTTCCACACAATAGGGATTCCGTGATTCTATCCAGACCTCTCAGGAAGTTTCAATCAGCTCTTCCCTCATCCTTCTAAATTCCATCAAGTACAGACCCAGAATCATCAACTGCTCCTCATATGACAAGCCCTTTATCCCTGGGATCATTCTTGTAAACCTCCTCCAGACCTCTTCCAAGGCCAGCATATCCTTCCTTAGGTACAGGGGCCAAATACAGTCTCTTCAAAGTTTTATACAGCCTCAGCAGTACATCCCTGCTCTTGTATTGCAGTCCTCTTGAAATGAACGCTAACATTACATTTGCCTTCCAAATGGTTACCTGACCCTGCATGTTAAATTCTTAACTAGGACTCCCAACACAACTGAATTGTGCTTCACATTTCCAAAGTCTTTCCCTGTTTCGAAAATAGTCTATGCCCCTATTTTTCACATCAAAGCGCACAAAATCATAGAACCTGTAGTGTAGAAAAAGGCCATTTGGCACATTGAATCTGCAGCAACCTCCAACACTTTTAATTCTAAAAAAAAAGTAAAGTAGAGGGAGGGGTTGACTCTGAATCTAACCCCGTCCTGTCCCTACCCTGATTCAGTTTAAATGTCCTTATTAAACAAAGTGACAGAGTACAGGAAACTTTATCTACACTTCAAAAGTGTAGAAAGATTTACTCTGTATCTCACACCATGTTGTACAGGACTTATGGTTGGTTTAAAGTGGAGTGGTGAGGAAGATTTACTTTCACTTTAAAACAGTGGCAACACTACACTGTATCTAACCTTGTATTGTTCGTGTCTTTGGAGCACTCGATGCTGACACTGGATATAAAGTGCAGGGGGACACGTTGTCAGGGTAATGTAGAGATGGCTCTACACTGTATCTAACCCCGTGCTGTCCCTCTCCTGGGCATGGTCGATGCTGACACTGGGTATAAAGTGGGAGGGGGAGATACTGTCAGGGTAATGTAGAGAGAGAGCACTCGATGCTGATTTTAGTTTTTGATGGGAGAGTGGCAGTCTGAGATGGGTTTAATTTTGAAAATGCCCTGCAGATGGTGCAGTAGGATCAAAGGGGAATCACTTATAATGAAGAATGAATGTGAAAGGAGCTCATGTTGGTGAGCTGGCTATCCTCAATATTGAATTGGAGGTTGTTGGGGGGGTGTGTGGGCGTGACAATTTCTGCCCTCTCACACAGATTTGCAAAGCAAGAAAAGAAATTTCAAGAAGAAATGGATCTTTATTGTTCTGCACAACTTCACCCGACAACATCGATCTCAGTACAGCCCAGGGGAGTAGAGGGGGGAGGTGAGGCATCAGGCCTCACTGTAACTAGGGGCAACAGCCCTACGTCTCTGCTGTCACCGACGTCCACCTCCTCACCCTCCGACGAAGGGGAAGACACCATAGGTTCCTCAGCCGTCCGATGCTGACCTCCAAACTGCCACCTGGCACTTTCCCACAGGTCAGCTGAGGTGCTGATACCGTCCTGAGCCCCGGCACAAAGCCGGGCAAAACCCCATTCACCAGTGGTGGGGCTGGCACCATCTTGACCAGTGATCTGCGGCAGTGCAAGGCCACACTGATCTGGTCGGTCAGGGGCTCCCTGGACTCGGGTCTCCCAAGGGAACATTGTGGCAGTGGTGGGCCACGTCTGTTCTGGGCCAGAGGGGGAATTACAAACTGGGCTACATTCACTAGGGCCCACCACCTCATCCTGGACCAGTCCTCCTAGCGTCTGGTGAACTGCCACTCTCTGGTTAAATCCCGACCTCTGGGAAATGTCTACTTCTTGGGGCCTCTGCTCAACTCCCAGGCCCTCCAGCCTCTGGCCTCCCCCTAGGCCCTCCAGCCTCTGGCCATTTTTGTCCAAGCCAGTCACAGGATGAGTAAGATTGATTAATGATTTCCTTCTTGCCACTCTCCTTCCCTTCCCTTCCCCTCGATTCCCTGTGGGAGGCTGCAGCCCCCCTGCTGTCCAGATCCATCCACCATCTCCTGCACCAACATTCTGGCCTCTAGCCTGTCCCGGGTCCTGGCTTTCTGGAATGGGAATGACGACCCATTCACTGGAGTGAGTCAGCTTCTGCAGCTTGAACTTGGTAATGCCTGGAGGTCTCTCGGGGGCGGTGCCCCGGCAGCTTGACCTCTTTCCCACTCGGGCAGTGGTGCTCTCCTCCTTGTCCGTGCCTATCCCCTTGGGAAGAGCGGTGGGATGGGGAAGTCCGGGCTCCGAGACCAGTCCAATGCCCTCCCCTGCTTTCCTCCTGGCTGGGCTGCTGACCACTTGGCACGTCTGCTCAGGCCAGGCTGGGCTGCAGAGTTCCTGCTGAGTATCCTTGGCTGCTGTAGGTTGCTGGCAGTGACTCGGACTGGGTCCTCTCTTTGGCGACACTTCGTGCCTCTCCCGCAGGGCGAGGCTTTGGCCTGTCTGGTCCAAATGCCCAGCTGGAACAGAACTGGACATTGATTCCCTGGGCAACTTGACGGGTCCCAGGCCTCCCCCAAGGTCTGAGCCCGGGCTCTTGGCTGGCTCGCTCTCCTCCTGCCTGGCTGACCCCTGATCTGCCTGCGCTGCCGTGACTCCTGCTGGCTCGGGGCCGCCTGGTCCTGATGGGCCGTCCCCACCCGGGTGGGACCCGGGGAGATGGAACCTGGTGGGCTGATTGGTCGGGGATGTGGGGGCCCTGGCAGGCAGGCGAGGTGGTTGGTCAGTCACAGCCCCTGCTGGGGGAGCGGGATCACCAACAGACCGCCCCCGCCTCTGCCTCCACTGTCGCCGGGGGCAGGGAGTCGCCCCGGAGACAGAGCCCGCATTGGCTGTCTGGGCGGGCGTGGGACGGCTGACCCTCATCCTCCGCCAGCTGGTGACCAGGTTCGAGGGGGGTGTGTTTGCTGGGGTTTCAGATCTATTGCCCCTTGACCTCTGGAGCAGAGAGGAGGAGGAGGAGACAGAGGGGGCTTTAGGTCTTGAATCAGTCACGGACCCCCGGGTTTTTTCACTCGGGCTCGGTCCCTGCCCAGACAGCACTGCAGCTTTGGGTGGTGCACGGGGCAAACTCTCCCCTTGAGGAACGTGGGATCCCGGAGGCTCGGCAGCAGGCGGCGTCCCCCTCCTCCCAGTGAAACCGAGGACTCCCAGCCTCCGCGCCATCTGCAGGAATCCCTCTGTAGTCTCATTGCGGGGCAGCTGGATCTGCTCCGTGTACATGAACCGCAGCAAGGCCTTCAGGGTGGCTGCCCTCAGCCCTGGCAGCTCCAAGGTCACCTTCTGGGGGTGGGCGTCACGCATGGAAAATTGCTGGAGGAAGAAGGGGCTGAAAGCAGCAAGCACACAGCGATGGACCGGGATCCCTTCACCTGACAAGAACCAGGAGGAGAGAAAATAAATAAGCAGAGGTGGATCACGCACGCCCACCTACTGCAATGAAAGTAGCACGGGTAAATGTGTACTCCCAAAGGACCGTTTTTAACCATATCAATTGTCATTGACCATTAAAGCCTCGCCATTAAGAAGCACTGCCTCAGGTCATTCAGAGCCCAGCTGCTGCATTCTCTCACCTGTCAACTTCAAGCACCACACAAATTAGAAGCAAGCCGTTTGGCCCATCGAGCTTCCTCTGCCATTCCGGGCTAATCTAATTGTAACCTCAAACCTAGACTGCCACATCCTTGCTTAAGAGCTTCTGCCCTAAAACCTTCAATGGGTTCTGCTTCCGACACCTTTTCAGGAAGAGAATTACAAAGACTCAACATTTTCGATGTAAGTAAGTTGTAAATGGGGAGTCCCTGATTTTTAAACAGTTCTGCCTTGTTCTAGATTCTCCTATGAGAGGGGACATGCTCTCCAAATTTCAGAGATAGTCAGAACTGCCG